TCGTGGCCAATAGGTTAAGGTGTTCGCCTCTTATTCAGCGGTCCCGAGTTCGAATCTGGGTAGCGACGGAAGAATTTGCTCCTCTCAAAGTGTTTTCTTTCTCCCCCTTTCCTGCTCTCTAGCAATGTTCTGTCGTCTGCTTTCGTCACCACTTTCTGCTTCCCTGATCTTATGGTAGGTAAGATCTAACACTTATCCTTCTCGGTCAAGGGTGAAAAATCTCGGAGGTCCCATTTGCACGTTGCAAATTGAATCCCCTTGTGGTCCTAAAATCGATAAGAGTAAGCTTCGGCCGCAACCGGGCAAAATTTTTTTAATGTCCTACCAACTGAAAAATGGCCTTATGCAGTTGTGAGCGCCGTAAAACACTTACCACCAAAAAAACATATAGTGATATTTTCGCGCCGTCAAAATACACTCTGAAACATCTGGTTCTCACTAAAACAATTTAACACCACTCAAACCTGCTCGTACGAATATACGTTGTTTTTTATTTGTAAAAAGCAAACCTCTCTTTCTTCACTGCGTCTGTAGAATGTGCATTTTCATTTATCAGAACTTAATGATAATAGATAGCATTTGTATAGCACAAATTCCCGCTAAACAGCAAGCTCTCTGCACTTTTAAATCTATATTGTTACCTCAGCAGACCTGATAGCATCCGGAAACAATTTCAACTTCCTGGTAAGCAGTTCAAGCTGCCATTTTGCATGCGTTGAAACACTCATACTGACACGATCTTTCACTGTCTATGGCTGGGTACCCAATCCCACCGGGGTGAAGTGGGGAAAATCTGTATTAAGTGCCTTTCTCAAGAATACGGCGTCAGGCGTGCGGCTTGAACCCTCGAACCTGCAACCTCACGATCACGAGTCCGGTTGCCTGACCACTAGACTGAAGACGCCAACAACTTTAATTCAGTACATGTATAGGAACCAAACAATCCTTTCTCTGCTCTTACTAATCTATTCCATTAAAAGAGAATTTCGAATCCTCCTTGAAAGTGGAAATAAGCCGACAACTTTCTATTATTTCTCAGGGCCCCATTAAGTTTCTTCCGGAGTTCAAGAACCCCTGTTGGCGGGAGAAGTTGGACATACCCATCGAGGACATGTACCGGAACAACGGGTTCGCACATTACTCACCGACCTACAGAAAAGCGTTCGGCCGAATCAAGGACAGATGGCAAAAGGAGGGCGGGGTCCCGGAGTACCGCTTGCGTTGTCTTCCTTACTTCTTCCTTGCCGGCCAACCGAAATGCGGCAGCACGGATCTCTACAAGAAATTGGTGGCCCACCCGGATATCGTGACTCCGCCCATAAAAGAATCTCATTGGTGGGGAAAGAACAGATATGGTAAGTTACAATGATCTCACGTCACAGTTACTACTTACGGTTGTCCTTTTCCCCCCAATAATTACGTTCGTATTTGTTTATAGAGGCACCAGGGATTCATATCGAGGTGCTGTTTTAGCAGATATGTTCGTCTTAGTTGCAACCATTGCCGCTAATTGTTTCCCTCGATGCAGCCACAAACGACGACAGCTGAACTGTCACTGTCATAATTACTAGATCTATGTGTCTCACAGCTCCATCTTCATCGTCGCCATAGACTTGCACGCACTCTCGTTTCCCGATTATTAACAATCAACCCCAAAGCTTCTCTTCGGCATCTGTGGTGGAATGGTTCAGTGATTGGTTGTTTCAAGCAAAAAATTAATTGTTTTAAATCAGCCATAATTTCTTTTTTTTATGTCTCTTCAGTGTGAGAGGTGAAACCCACAGCTTGGTCGTTCAATAAAAGAAAGACGCCCAGAGAGAGAGAGAGA